TCTGTGTAAAAGTACTATTTTTAGGACTAACTTTCAAATGACCTTGACTGAAAATCAAGGCCGATGACACCAAAGTTTTTGGATGTTAAAATAGTGTAAACAGTCTGAATATTGAGTATTCAGAAAATCAAGATTCTGCCATTATAAGAAATATGAGAAGAATCCATCCTTAATTAAAGTGGTTCCTTTAAGGATTTTTTTTTCCACTTTGGAGAAGGTAGTGATGTGGTGAAATTACAGCTGCTGATGACCGACGTTATGGTGTTGAACACACATCAAGATTCTTATCTGTGATCTGTGATCGAACTGGTGAAGTCAACATTGCCAGACGGGACCCCTGTCCCAAGTGAATCTACAGTATTACTGGCATCTGTGCAAAAAAAAAAAAATAATAAAAAAAAAAAAATAAAAATAAAGCAAAGCTGTATAGTGGTAGAAACCTTTGCGCCTGAAAGTTCAGACAGGACAGCAAAGACAAAGTCATCAGGACGATCACTATTGTGCATGTTTAAAAAGATATGCTACAGAATACGCAGTGAAATTTGCTGATAGTGTTATGTTTATATGCATGGATGAGAGGGCAAAAGTTGATTTTGGAGAGCCAGGACTCTTCATCCTCTGGTTTAAGAGCTAAAAAACTATTGTTCCAAAGAACACTAATCTATCGTGCTTAGATGATGTTCAGACTAAAGGATCCCTAACACCATATGTAGTGTTGGATGTGTGCATTCCAGATAACGTCTCTGACTCCTTTTATTCTGGGGAGGTTAAATTTCAGTTACTTTGAAAGACAACATTTTCCAGCCAAATACACCTTTTTCCACGTAGTTGAACTGAAACATATCCTTCAAAGTAGAGACCACAAGAAACCTAAGGCTTGCTTATTCATCTACACTGACGGAGGCCCCGATCACAGGACGACATATCATGCAGTGAAGCTTTCTTTGATTGTTTTGTTTAGGCAGCTCAACTTAGAATTCCTTGTTGCACGCAGAACAACACCTAGTAAACGCATGGGCCAATCCTAATGAAAGAATAATGTCATTATTAAATTTAGCCTATCAAAACACTATTAGCTAGGACAGAATGTTCTGCAGAGATGGAACAGTATATAAAGGGGTGCAATTCTATGTCAGACATTAGGAAGAAATCAAAGTATCTACCTGGACTTTCCCATCCTCACAATGTCAAGGTTTTGTGATTTCGGAACTCCAAACAAACCCTTGACATAAGTCGTTATTTAAAAGTTGGGCTTGTGGTTACACATGACGTAATGGCTAATTATAAACTAACCAATGAGAATATATGTTTTCAAATCCGTCGTTATCAAATTGCCTAACTCCAGAGCATATCTTTTGTGATTTAAAGGAGGACGATCTTCAAAAAATTAATTCCCGATGTTTTATTTAAAGTAACTAGTCACAAATCCTACAATATAGACACTTTCCATTTTAAAGACGAGTCATATTTGCTCACAAAACTTACCTACAATAAAAGATGTTTTCTAATTGGTTCCAGACCTAGACCAGGAACAAATGAAATAGTAGCTTTCTAGCCCCACTTTTAAATAACGACTTGTGACAAGGAGTTCCGAAATCACAAAACCTTGACATTGTGAGGATTGGCCTTTCCCATTATGAACAGAACAAAGAAGGTATTTTTTTCTGACGTAAGAATAAATCCATATGCTAATTGAGGCACCAGCGTAACTTTCTAACCGACCAAACAGCTAAATGAGTTGCATTACGAGTGAGTACTACAAAAATACAAGGAAGATGTAATTAATGCTTGAAAAAAGGCATTGTTTTACTTGCTTCTGAAAGATATTTTTATATGCACTTCAATCACAGATTAAATAAGAATCTACGATTTCCTTGCTCACAATTACAAACAATTGATTTATACACATATTTTTTATAATTTATAGTTTTGTAGTGCGATTGGTGGACAATTGGCTACATGTATTCCCGAGTATCGGTGAATACAAATTTCATGTGCATTGCTTGGTCCAAAACGATAGACGCTGTGGTTCCATGCATATTGTCATGTATAAAGGCTTTTGTTGACCATTTAAAGTTTGAAATGTAGTAGAAAAAATGTGTAAATTGGCCTAAACCATGTGTCTGTGATAAAATATACTCATCTAGTTAACCGGCATGTTTTGTCATTCAGTCATCATATTGGACAATTCTCTGTAAGCAACTATGTGCCAAATAATAACAATAACCATATAAGGTAAACTCCTCGGACATGCATATCCCTCTTTTGTACTAAGACCCGCCTTTTCTATCCATCTTTATTCATAAAAGAACATATGGTCACAAACCAGGCTGAATTTTGCAATCATTGGGTCTAAAATTTATAGATAATGCAGTATTCTTCAAAATTATAAACAATACGAACTATCGACACTATTCAGAAGGTGTCATTTTCCTTCACTCTTGTTTGAAAAAAAACAGAATGATTGCAGATTTATTATAATTCATCGTAGAAAAAGGGGCCCCAGACCATATTTATGGCAATTCATCCTTTGAAAATTAAGCATTGATGTGTAAGATTTTTTTTACCTACCTACATGTACTTACCCAACTTTTTTATCATGGGTCGGGAGAGGGCAACATAATTTTAAAGGTGGTCTTAGTTGTTCATAAATATCAATCATAAAAGTTTTGGAATGTACATACAAGGATATGTATCCCAGGAAAAAGAATATTTTTCAACTTCATATACATGCTGTTTCCTATGATTCCCAAAACAACACTCTTTTTTAAGAATTAAATTGGATTTTTTTGAAATGTGGAAATTAGGACCACACCATTGCCTTTAAAAGTTGATCTCCATTTATATCGAAATAAGCTCTTAGAATGACAGAATCACATTAAAACATACAGAAGGTAAATTTGAAATCGTTTTATGGTATTAAAACCATAACAACCATTTCCAACAAATAAGAATATCACATTTCTTCTTGAAATATGTTACAAGGGTTTCTTTTCTCTATCATTTGCTTGCATTTCAACGTCTAATTGTTTTTTTATGCCCCCGGATCGAAAGATCCCGGGGGTATATTATTTTTGTCTTCTCTGTCTGTTTGTCTGTCTGTCTGTTGTAAACTTTAACCTTGCCCATAACTTTTGATTGGTTGGAGCGACTACTTTCATATTTCACATGTGTATTCCTTGTGACAAGACCTTTCTTTGGGTACCATCATTTTTGACCTTGGAGTTTGACCCACTTTTGCAAAATTTTATGAGATTTTAACCTTGGCCATAACTTCTGAACAGTTGGTGCTTGGGGTTTCAAACTTCACATGTGTATTTTTTGTGACAAGGCCTTCCTTTGGATACCGACAACTTTGACCTTGACCTTGGAGTTTGACCTACTTTTGAAAAACTTTAACCTTGGCCATAACTTTTGAATGGTTGGTGCTTGGGCTTCCATACGTCACATATGTAATTCTTGTGACAAGACCTTCCTTTCGATACCAACCACTTTAACCTTTACATAGGAGTTTGACCTACTTTTGAAAAACTTTAACCTGGCCATAACTTTTGAATGGTTGGTGCTAGGGCTTTGTATTCCTTGTGACAAGACCTTCCTTTGGACACCACCAACTTGACCTTGACATTTTACTTACTTTTAAAAAACTTTAACCTTGGCCATAACTTTTGAACAGTTGCACTAGAGCTTTCAAATTTCACAGGTGTATTCCTCGAGAGAAGACCTTTCGTTGGGTACCAACATTTTTTATCTTTTGACCTGGATTTTGACTTGCACTTGAGAAACTTTAACCTTCGCCATAAGCTGCCATACGGGGGCATCAGTGTTTCACAAACACATTTTTTTTTTTTGAGTGTATGACTTTATAAGAATAAATGAATAAACTTTTTACTCTTGAGTACTTTGTTTTCCTAGTAACCTATGTGATAAATGGTTTCCTAAATATGATTATCAGACATTCACGACATTGAGCCTTCAACTTTTGGAAACAGTCATCCACTTTTCCTGCAAACGTTAGCCATGGGGCTCTGATTGTTCAAAAATGGCATTTTTTAAACTTTAGGGCATGTTCCCATAGTAACCATGACACAACAACCAAGATTTTTTTGCCTGATCGTAGTTAACGGTATCAAAGACTTTTATCATAGAGAGTTTGGAGAAATTCTGAGACTATATATATGCGTACCCCAGCTCCTATATAAATGTTCAAGTCACTACAAAGAATGGCTCTTAATTTGCCTTGAAGAGTGTTAAAAAGTTTTACGTTTTGATCAGATGTTTTTAAATTTGGACTCTGCAATGTATCCTCGTTTGCAAGGACTTTTTATGAAGTCTCTTGGAATCCAATATATGTGCGATAAAAATATTCCTTTCTATTGAATGGAATGTTAATGGTATTGAAAACTGAAAGATGTTTTTCAGAATTTCATCCTTTGCAAGGAATGAACGTATATGTGGGATTATCAGATGTTGAATTAAAGCCCAGTTCTTTTGTTTACTGAAAACGAAAGAATAGATCCTACTCATTTTGTCTTTAAATTTTCTGACACATTCTTTAGTTTTGGACTTTATCTATTAATTCTGATAAAGTTTTGAGGCCTTCTCCTTCATATTTAGCCCATTGTCTGGCATATTCCTCGACAGAATTTATCATAGAAAGATTCTTGTGGCTAGTTCTTACTAAAATATTTTGATGTATCCACTTAAAACAATGGAAGGAGTATCAAATTTGCTTTTAAAATGTTTTACAGACATTACATCACTTCCTAGCTAAAATTACAAAATACTAATACATTTTAAATGTTTTATTGCATAATACAAATATGTAACAGACAAAAAGTTCACAAAAAATTTGAAGTACAAATATGTAATGGACAAAAAGTTCACAACAAATTCACACCTTTGTGAAAAATAAAACTCTGACTAAAATGACATTGATATGAGAAATTCTCAACATTTTTTTCTGTCTAGATCTGACACTTCTTGCATAGTAAATATTCTTAGCTAGAATAACACTTAGACAGTTTTGATAGGAGTCTTAGAATCGGTCCTTTTTGTGTCTTGTTCGTTGATTCGAATTCATTACTTTTACATTCAATATCGGAATATGATTCATCCTTGACAACTACTCCTTTTAGGATGGTGAGAAGAAATGTATCAAGGTCATTCTGTTGTAAAAGCGAGGTTTCTGAGTATTTACATTTGTGTTCTCGTGCTAAGAGCTTTCCGTCTGTAAGAAGAAAAAAAAAGGTTATTACCAATAACAAAATCAAATAATATTTTATAAGAGTACAGTGACTACATTAATATTTCAATGAAAAAATTATAATTTGAAATTTTACTCACCTTCTTTTGTTAAAGACTGGTTCCTAACAAGATCCATCTTATTGGCCACAAGGAATATTGGCGAGGTAATCTTATACTTGTATCGCATCTGACGAACCATTTGAGCAACAGTAGACAAGGACCGTCTGTCTTCTAGTGAATAAACGAGGAGAAAGGCATCTGAATCTCTATGCGTAATCTCCCTCTGCAAGATAAAAACTATATAATTACATTGCTTTCAAAACATTTTGTAGATTGTCCAAAATCTTAGTTGCTATATGTGAAAAGGGGAAAATGAGAAACTACATTGAAGAATGCTTAAATGCAGAAATATATTTGAGTTTGCATTGTATGAAACATACCTGCAAACGAATGTCTGTTTCATGAAAAACTAGTTCCATTGGTTGTCCATCTAATGCAACAACGGTTTTTCGAGAGCTTGCATCACCTAAAGCGATAAACAAAAATCTTAAATGACATCTTCTGTAAAAAATATTTTTTTCAAATAATATAATTTTCAATTTTTTTTTTTTTTTTTTTGGACATAAGAATTGGTGGTTTACCTCTGAGTCTTTGTATAAGAGAAGTCTTTCCAACCTGTGGCGATCCAATAACATTGATCTTTACAATGACATTTTGACCAAGGGTTTCGTTCTTCTCTTCAGACTCAATGTAGCTTTTCAAATTCTTTCCCAACAAATTGGAAAACTGAAAAGAATTTTTGCAGTTGTACCCTCTGCAGGTAGTTTCAAAATTCGGAACCCCATCAACAGCATCGCAGTATCGGTGGTGAATCGCTGATGGCTGACAGACTTTCGAAGATCGGGGCTTGCGATAATTGAGGTGCTGTCCAGAGTTAGAACAGGTGTTGGAGCGATTCTGAACTACAGCATCTGTTGCAGATTTCTTCTTGTTTGCAAGTTTAAGAACTCTTCTTGGCGGCGTTGTGTTAAACATTATGATGCTAATTTTTAACTGAACAATGGTGAAAGTAAAGTATTTTATATACTTTCATCATCAGACAGATTATTCACAAGTTTGATTTCATTGGATAATTTAAATTATGTTTTAAAAGATGACCTTTTCATCAGCATCGATACTTTCCTTCACTCCGCCTACCTATAATTAGCTACTCAATTAAACTACTATTGTATTATATTTATTCTGCCATTTACAGAGTACTTATTCTATCATTTACGGTGAATATTAAGGAAAAAATATATATCAAGTGACGGGATAAGTGATATATGATTATTAATCAGCGTAATTTTAAATCAATGATCGGAAACTGTAACAGATGGAAAGGTGGAAACTGCTCATTTAAATGTTTTTCCGGATTAATTTTCGTTATTCCTGAAATGAAAGTAATTTGCGGTATATAAAGTGCAGTAAGTAAAAAAAAAATGAAATATGTCCATAAGCTACAACACTGACCTGTGTAATCTTGGCCCTATTGTTCATCAGAACAGGCTTTTCCATGAAAAATTTTGACTACATATTTTGGCCACATTCTAGCCTCAAGGGCACTCATGAAAAACTGGAAACTACACAGCAAGGGGATGCTAAATAATATGACTTACGTATCCCTATATTTAAAAACAAAATTCATGTGTCAAATTGGAGTCTTAGCTCCACGCTAATCCAGGCACTGTGTCTGTACCATCGGCTCATAAATTCACCTCAGCCATTGGCTCGCTAGTATCACTATCATTAGCACAATATAGTGCGTCTATTTTTTTTAATTCAGTTTAATTAGATATTTGCAGTAATGATTGCCATTTACGATATATATACAGGAGAGAAAAACACCATGTGCAGGTGACTGTGGAATATTACTATAGACATACATATAATTAAGGAAAGTTGACTATGGGAAAGCTGAAGTCATCAAGTTTGTCATACATTTTAGTTGCTAGTTGGTCCTTATCGTCCAACTGAAGTACTGAAACAGTGATATTAGTTGAATATGCGTGCAAAACTTGCAACAAATTGCAGGACTGAACATTTTTCGTTTGAATTGAGTAAAGTATTTCTGGCGAATAAAACTGCATTCAAAACCTTTATTTTTTAAATTCATCAGCTTGCATATTTTACCAACATCTCGGTCTTACTAATGAAGTCGTGGATAAGCTCATCAAATTACCTCTAGCAACGCAGGACGGATTATAAAGTGAAAAATAAGGCATTGCAACCATCATATATATACTAATCAAAACTTCTAGCCTGCTACTCAAACATGTAACAGTGTTACTACCGGTTGTATCTTTATGTTGTTAAATAACGACTCGTTTGTATTTTGTAATCTTTAAAAAAAAATCATTTTTTGTCCCCCGCTTTCACTGAAAGTGGGGGATATTAATTTGGGTCTGTCTGTCTGTCCGTCCGTCCGTCCGTCTGTATTTCTCTGTATGTCTGTAACACTTTCGTTTCCGCGCGATATCTCAAAAACCCTTTAAGCCATCGCAATGAAATTTTGCATAGCAACTCCCTATGGCCGAAAGAAGAAACTTATTTATTTTGAGGTCAAAAGCTCAAAGTAATGAATTCTGTCTGTTTTATCACTTTCGTTTCCGCGCGATATCTTGAGAATCCTTTGAGCTTTTGCAATGAAATTTTACATAACAGCTCCCTGTGGCCTAAGGAAGACCCCTATTGATTTTGAGGTCAAAGTTCAAGGTCGTAAATTCATACATTCCGTCTCTGTAACACTTTCGTTTCCGGGCGATATCTCAAGAAGCTTTTGAGCTTTTGTAATGAGATTTTACACCATAACTCCCTATGGCCTCTCTCGCCCCTCTCAAAGTGTCCCCCCTGTTTTTTTTTTAATTGTATTATTAGGACTATTTTTAGCACAGGGGCATGTGGAGAGTTATTACGCATTTATAATACAGGTTGTCGGCGGACTTCAAATTCTAATAACATCTATTAGTACTGTTTAGTAAAGGCTAAATTCGACTCCATGTATTTTGCAAAATTTTGACAATATCCAACGTGAATATAAACACGCTATGAACAAAAAATAAATGAATAAAAACATATAAACATTATATGCGACCTAACGTTTGCATTTAATTTGCTGCATAATCAAGTGCCTCCGTGTTCTAGGGGTATGACGCTTGCTCAACAAGCCAAAGGTCCCGGGTTCAAATCCCGGACGGTCTCTCTTTCTTTTCTTTTTTTTTTTTTTTTGATTTACTAAATGATACTATTCAACATGTGAAATGTAAAAGTTATGACGTCTGGCGTGTACAAACTCATAAAATCATTATTACAGTGTGATAAATATTCTATGTATTAAAAAGAATCTTCTATACACATATTAAGGAATAATCTTTACATCCATATTGGTATTTTTTTATTTGCTACAATATACATGTATACATTAAATAATTCTACAAATCCTGGGGGAGTCCGACCCCCATCCCCCCACCCCCCTCGAACTGCGCATGCTCTTCTTTTTTCCCCTAAGCGGGGGACACAAATTCTCGGAATTAGCTTGTTATTCATTAATATTGTTTGAGTTTTGATGAGAGTAATGGGAAATACCGCATGTGACCACCATTGGCTTCAATAACTGCTCAACACCTATAAATCCAGGCCCAAAGATCATGAAACAGACTTAAGTCAGAATTGTATTCATCTGTAAGATTTTTCAAATTCAAAATCATGTCTTGACGAACAGTAGTTATCCCTTGCCTGAGTGTTGATGAAGATCAGCAATACTTCCGGTTACTTGAATCTTCGGTAAACGCATTGAGACTTTTAAGATAACGATGCATCTGCCTGGCAAACTGAGTTCTTCCTTTTTGTGTGAATTTATGAACAAATTACAATTGAATCAAAATTTGAACATAATTAAAACAAAAAAAAAGATGTGTGTGTGAAACACTGATGCCCCCGTATGGCAACTTGTAGCGAAGATTAAACTTTCTCAATTGCAAATCAAACATGTTGGTACCCAAAGAAAGGTCTCGTCCCAAGGAATATACCTGTGAAATTTGAAAGCCCTAGCAGCTACCATTGAAAAAATATGGAAAATGTTAATGTTTTTTTCAAAAGTAAGTCAAACATCAAGGTCAAATGGTCAAAATTAATGGTGCCCAAGGAGAGGCTTTCTCACAAGAAATACCTATGTGAAATATGAAAGCCCTAACTCCAACCGTTCAACAGATATGGCCAAGGTTAAAGTTTTTCAAAAGTAGGTCAAAGGGCTATAATTGCTAGTATCTAAAGGAAGGTCTTGTCACAAGGATTACACATGTGAAGAATGAAAGCCCTAGATCAACTGTTCAAAAGTAATGGTCGTGGTTAAAGTTTTCTAAAAGTAGGTCAAACTCCAAGGTCAAGGTCACTGGGCTATAATTGTTGATATCTAAAGGAAAATCTAGTCATTAGGATTACACATGTGAAGTATGAAAGCCTTAGCACCAACTGTTCAAAAGGTTATGGCCAAGGTTAAAGTTTTTCAGGTCAAACTCATAGGTCAAGATCAAAGGGTCAAGTTGGTGGTCTCCAGAGGTAGGTCTTGTCACAAGGATTACACATGTGAAGTATAAAAGCCCTAAAATTTTGCAACTCCAAGGTCAAGGTCAAAAGAGATCACATATGATGGTACAAAAAAAAGGTCTTGTCACAAAAAATACATATGTGAAATATGAAAGCCATAACTCTAACCAATCAAAAGCAATGTTAAAGTTTTTGCGGACAAACAGTGCAAAAACTATATACCCCCGATACGGGGGCATAAAAATAGCGAATGGCGGACCTACATGTAAACATTCAATTTAAAGCACAGTTACAAGTAACTAAAATCAACGCAAGACAGACTAGATGTATTGAGCATTAAAGTATAAAGATAATGCATGGAACTATTTTAGAGTCGTATTCAGAAGCTTCAATCTGATTGGTCAAAATCTTCATGTTTATTCTTAACTAAAATGTCGCTTTATGTGATGTTGTTGTTGGATTCCGAGAAGCGATGGTAGATTCAAACCATCTGATTTTAATAAGATTGGTTTTTCGGTAAAAGAATTATTCAAAGAAACCAAAACAAAAATCAGAGGAGAAAAAAAAATCATTGTTATAATATACGGGCATTGTTTTTTTTCCTTTCACAATCAAATCGTCTTTCTTCATTAAGTTTTTCGGCGATTTCAATTCTTGGACTGAGTAATACTTAGTGAAACTTCGTTTAAATTTCGGTGTCATGCAGCCGTTTAGGTCAGAAGCAAATGAAAAAAAAAAAATAGTGGCGGGTTAGAAGGTTTCATTATTATACATTTTTAAAGGCAAGTAGTTATTAAATACATTAGATTTTTTTTATTCTTTCAAGACCTTGTCTCTCTTTTTTTTTTTTTAAAGTTGTCTGGTTGGTTGAATTATATGTAAGACATATAATGGCACATATAGATATTTATATTGATGTGTGAAAGTAATTTTTTTTTTACACGCGTAAATGCACGTATTCTGAATTCTTATTGGCAGAACTGTTGTTCCAACCAAAAGTGTTGACAGGAAAAAAAATTAAAAGAAAAAATAAGACGTTTCTAACACATTTATTTAAATCAAATTGCTATCCCAAAAGTATGTACTTTGCCTGATTTTTGGCTATTACTGATATACAGCAAGAAGATGGGCGAACAAGGCGAGCGAAATGGCTATTAATAGTGCGACAAACATGAAGGTGAAAAATCAGATCTCAATTATAACATTTTTTTCCTTTGATCTTTTATCTAACATTAAAGTATACTTTATGTAGAATCACAATTCGCAAAAATCTCACAAAAATTGAAATTATTTGACTATGAAATAGCATACACACACTAAAGATAGCAAAAAGAATCATTTTCTCATATTATGTGATGTGAGTGGGTCTTCGCTCGATTTTTTTTTAAAGTTTATCCTCAAAGTTTGTGTAAAAGTATACATTTTTCGGTTAACAAAACATGGAGCAAAGA